AATAAGAATTGAGGATTAATATTAAATTTATTGATTTATAATTATATAAATAAATAAATAATAACAATAGCTAACAATAAATGTAAACAAAATTGTGGACAATTACTAATTCAAGTACTGTTTCAAAGAACAACATGCACTTTTGTTTAACATATTCTTTTATTTAAAGTTTGTTGTTTGTGATTGACACCGTATTAAATTACGAAGTTCAAAATGAGGACTAATTGAATATTCTAAAATATGTCGAATACGTCGATATTAGTTTCTTCTTTCGTATGCTATCCCTTTATTTCGAAAGTGCAAATTGAACAAAGATGTTGCCAAGATAATAATGCGAGGCGATAAAACATACCGCAGTCTTTTTCAGTTCGCAAATTAATAGATATACATAGGATTCATAATTCAAGTTTATAAATTACATAATGCTATTACTGAATAAAAAATGGGTCAATTAGTACTAGATTAGTACTAAATTAGTACTAAATTATTTTTTTCGTAATGATTAATAAGGAATTAGTAAAATAGAATTCATGAAATAAAATTCATTTGATATTGTTTTTTAAGCGGATAATGTTCATAGCTGTACGGTTAATAATGCGCGTGACTATATTTTCTCTGCTGTGTAGTTTAAGGTTTTTCGACTCATTTTTCATTTTTTAACAAATAACAATGTTATGTAGTTCGTGAAAGCAAATTATGAAATACATTTTATATTTATGATCAATTATTATATATGATTTAATTTTAGACACATATAGATTGGTTATACATATATTTATTATATTATTAATCCATAATAATAAAAAGAGACCATTTTTCGATATATTTTATCACTGTCCAATAAAATGACATATGAAAAGAGCTAATAAGCTCATAAAATGACAACAAGAAGCTTATTTTAATAAATTGCTAAAAGAAATTATCTATTTCTTTATTATTACTTAACACGGATTTAGTAGAACAACAGAAATCGCAATAGTGATAAAGTTTCGAATAAATATATGAATTATTTATAACTTATTATAAATTTATAATTTATAAATTTTTTAATATATTTAAAATCATAATTTATCATTATATATGAGTTATAATTATATATATATATATATATATATATATTAATTATTAAATAATTATATGTATATATATATTATCACAATTATATATATATATATATATAAATATAATTATAAATACATGTGTTATAAATTTATATAAAATATAATTATATAATTTATATAATTATAGAAAAATAATAATATATAAATATAATATTAATTATATATAAATATATAAAAATTATTATAAATATATAATTAATATGTGAATTATTTATTAATTATATAAGAATTAAAAAGAATAGAAAATTTCGATTCTGCGATTTTTAATAATAATGCGTTCTGCAATAATATGGAAAATGACTATTTTGCTATGCCATAAAATACTTTTATGTATTATTATAAGAAAATTAGTATTGTACAATAAATAGAGATAAAGAAAAAATATTAATCACCTTTATTCCATTTCTATTTTCAGTTTTTTATATTGAAAATTTATCTATTTTTAAAAAAATAAATAAAAGAGGTAAAATTACATCCTGCTCCGTACCGTGATACATATTATTGAGTTGAATTAAGCTTTATGTATGTACAAATGCGATCTGTAAAATAACAAACATAACGCTATTTATCATTTACGTCAGAATTATATGATTAAGTACTAACAATACAGTTAAATCATGTAGTTTGAATAATGTAGGTGTTGCATTTCGATTATCTTTATCATTTATATTGATTAACAAAGTTAAAGTAAATTTTTATTTGTAATAGATATTGTGTACATATATTGTAATATTGCTTAAATATCACGTACATTATGTCAATGCGAATGAGATAATTTTAATAAAAATGATACATTTAATTATTTTCTGATTATTTACAAATATATATAAATATATTACATATACGTTTGAATGACTTTTGATGAAAGCATTAAAAACTTTAACATCGATATTGAAGTTCGCGCCTTGAATATATTGTTATTGTTGAAATAAAATCAGTCACGAGACATACCGCGAACGATACCACGTAGTGATATATAACACGAGAAAAGCTCTTTTTGGGGTAAGAAACATTAGAATAAGCTCTCTTTTTTATTTGAAATATAAAATTTTAAATTAATTATAATATATATTATTCTTTGAGAACTTGAAAGAAGAAGGATAATTTTTGTTATTTCGATAACAATAGGAAAAGATAATACTTGTGACTGAATCTATTGAAGCTATTGAAGAGTAGATATTTTTATTCGTAAAAAAAAGATTAAATTTAAAGTTTCCGTTCCAAGTAAAATGATGTTATGTGGAGAATACGTGATGATGTATGGAAAACATGTGAACCAGCCTTCGTACTACCCTTATATTCGTTGAATTAATTGATGATCCAAGAAACATTATTAAGATTGAGTTCCCCGATGTCAATCTATCATTGAAATTATCTTTGGAATTAATTCTAAATTTCTTTTTTACTGATAATTTTCTTCTGATTGAAGACGATATTGTATTGCATAAACATGTGCAATATTTTATCACCTTAAACGCTTTATAGAGCGCATGTGAGTAGAGATATAGCAAACATATTTGCAAACATTTCTTTTCCTGTTTTTTTACGTTGCTCATCAAGAACAACTCGATATAAAATCTTTTCGCGTGCGCCTGGCTACCCAATTACCGATCAACGCTGGTTTTGACAGTTCGACATCGTTCGCCGTATATCTCGCGGCATGCTTTCTACATTGGTCATATCTGCAGAAGGGTATTCACAATGATTTTGATGACTATGAATTAGAAAAAATCATGTTATCTGTGAAAAAGTTGTACCAAACTATGTGTTTGGTATTGATAATAACAGGTGCATATATGGCCAAGTATTGAGAGCTCAATATCAAAATCCATTAGATTGTAATGTTAAATTATTGCAAGTGCCGAGAATTAAAATTTTATTGATTGATTCGAGAATTCGTCGGAATAAATACAAACAGATGATGCGAACAAATTAAACATTTATCCCGATAAGAGCGATTATTTTTTGCGTAAAATCGACAAAATATCGAAACGAACCTGCATCAGACTCGTAGCAATTAATAATAGCCAGAAATAATAACAATTTGTAACAATTATACGACTCGTACAGATTGTTAGGAGTAATTGTAAGTATATTTTTTGATAATTTTTTTTATATTACTTTGTTATATATTTTCGTGCAATGCCAAAAGATTTAAAAGATTTGCAAATACATAATAATCTGATATAAATAATATCGTTTTTAAATTTAGATTTCTTAACGATTTTCAGATGTCTATTTTATCGAATCAAACTATACTTTATAGATTAGGTTTATCACATCCCGAGTTAGATATGTTTAATTGCGAGAAATAATGGATTCGCAGGAAGACTCACAGGTTTTGATGGATATGCATATATCCCCCGAATACTCCAAGAGAAAACATCATAAATCTTTCAACACATTTAATAATGGAAGATTTCATTGTTAGAATGACTAGCGTAAGTTATAATGGTGTGAAACTTGACGAGGTATAGAAAAATTATCAGTTGTATGAACAGTACGAATAATTATCAATAATTTAATTAACATGAATAATTAACATTAAGTATAAATAATATAAAATTGCAATTTAAATGCGATGTGATATAAATGGAAAAGAACAAATAATATATAATATATTCTATTAAATTGGAAATTCTTGGTCTCTTCTGGTCTACCTAATGCCGTATTGAATTATAAAATTGGAAGTTGGAATCACACTGTTAATATTTTTATTGTAAAATACATTAAAAAAATTAAAGTTTTTCATAAATTACCTCACTCGCGATGGACAAGATAGATTGATTAAAAAACGATATCTTGTCAAGTTATAAACAAAAAAATATACCGAAGATCTTTTTTCGATTAATAAATTGTTGAATTAATTGTATATCTGAATAAACATGCATATATAGCTTACTTTCGGTAGTGTAAAGTATACGTAGATTATTTTATGTATTTATTATTTTATTAATTATAATTGACTAATAAGAATAACAGAAAGAAGGAAAATGCCATAAATGTCTTTGGTATATTTTTTATCAATCTATATTACAGAAACCAAGCATAATGATAGGAAAAAATTAATTTCTTAAAAATTTTAACTATATTTTGTAAAAAAAAATATTTAGACGTATTTATGTTGTATTAACATCATCATTAAATATGGCTGTAATAAAAAGTATAAATTTAATAGTAGTAAAAGTAACAAAATACATGTTTGTCGAATTATCACATAAGATGGCGAAAAATATTGTTATTAATACGTCATAGTATATGAAAATATTTATATTATTACGTACATTGTGATATATTATATATAGTATAAATATTTATATATTATTACGTAAACTACAATTATATATAACTTGTATATTGCATAAAGATAAAGCTCAAAAGAAAAAAAAATTATTTTTATGTTTTAACTTTATTTCTTTATAGTTTATTAGAATTTCATTTAATTGTAAGTAAAGTCAGTAAAAAAGTATCATCATCCTGCTTCCGATTTTGACTTTCGAGCCGAAGTTGATGATGCATTTTACTTAATCGAATTTACATAATGCTATTTATAAAATAACAATAGCGCTGCTTATTCTTGTGTATCAAAATTATATAATTACATTAAACAGGTAAACAATATAATTCAAAATAACACAGCTAATACTATCTTTTATGATACATCTTAATTATATAATAATCGACGTCGAAGAATATTTTTCATAGATACATATATATGTAAAACTGTGATAATAAAAAAGTAGGTAAATTGTATCAATGCAATTTATATAATATGTGACAATTTGTTTGACTCTAACATTGCAAATAACATATGATGTCAGATTATGTAAAAGAAGTAAATATATTTAGTACGATCCTTCTTGAAAAACTTCGGCCATGTAGTCAATATTTTGGTTCGCATATTCGGAGCGCTTGCTTGAGAATTTCACGAGACAAAATCAGTCATTTTCGAAACGCGGCTTGAACAACATCAAAACCTAGCGGTAACGTCTTAAATAATTTGTATTATTAGTAGCTCCTTTTTTTCTATGATATTAATAATTTTAACAGTTTAATAGTAAATATATTGTATTCTCTCAAACTTGTGTGCAACCCTGATAAAAGTAACGAAGACGAATTACGACAGAGAATTCAGAAGATTTTAGTTCGCAGAGAATAAAAACAATTGGAAAGAATTAGAATCCGACTGGATCTAAGTGAACTTTTTTGTTTTGTATCGGTATAATTCAATAATGTATTAGTGACACATTACTTTTGTTATACATATTTAACGCATTATGTTACGCACCTTCAACTTATTAAACGATTATTTTCTCGATGACTTTTTTTTGCATCAAATTGTATAAATCAAATTGTATAAATAAAAATACATTTTCTAATATCTCTAAAAGTTGCGGATTTAAAATTTTATCACAAACAGTGCATCTTTTGACGAAGTAGAGATTTTGATACGCAGAAAGTATGACTACATTACAAATTTCGGCATCGCGTAGGGTTTTCTTATGCGAAGAGCATACAGTGATGTGTGGAAAACAAGTTGTGGCCTCTTAAATCTTCGTATCACGCTCAATTTCTACAAACTACCTCTAGAGCCAGCAATCGTTAGGATAGAGTTGCCTAAGGTCGGTATATTGTTAGACATACCTTTACAAATGATTGTAAGATTTACTTCCGCCGAGAATTTTCATTTGGTGATCGATAATTATCCCGCTTTCCTTAGACGCGTGGAATATTTTATTAGCTGAAACGGTTTATGGAGAACATTTGAACAGAGAGTTAGCTTACAAATTATCTTTCTCCTCTTATAGGTTATCACCCAAAATGACAAACTCGTTATATAATCTTTTCACTTGGCCACGCGATTAACAACGAACGCTGGTCTTGGCAGTTCCCGACATGTCTCGCAGGATGCTTTTTACGTTGGTCGTGTCTGCAAAAAGGTGACTACAATGAATTTACTCCGGAAGAATTGGAACGAATTTCGTGATGTACTTTGAGAAAATGATACCGGAGTTCAAGCAGGATCACATCGTGCACAGAAAAAAAAAAGTGTTAAATCAAATCTTATATACTTAAACTAACGCGTTCATTGTTTCGTATATACGCAACAATTAATCTTCTTGGAAGAATTTAATAATTTTAAATTTTAACAATATTATAGTCTTATTTTAATATTGTAATTGTCACCTCAAGAATATATAATTATTTAATTCTACTTTAAGAAAATCTTTGATTTAAAAATGTTATTTTCTATCCAAGATTTTCTTTTCCGTTCAAAAAAATTAAATCTTAAATCATGAGAATATATTTTTCTCGATTGAACTATATAAAATGGCTTTATTCAAGTAAGCAATTATCAAGCAATTATATTTTTCTTTAATTAACGCAATATAATCGCATTTTAAGATTTCCGTGTTAAAATTAAATATATTTTCAAAATAAGAATGTCCTTTTTTTCTGTGCGTGCACACACGGTCGTGTAACAGCATTTCAATATAGAGAACTGCTAACCCAGAGTGAAATCATAAATACGCCAAAAATATATATTATGCTGATTGATGCAAAAATTTGCCTAGATAAATGCAATAATTGGTCAACATGAAATATAGATATAGCAACGATGTCCATTTAAACAAGATTAATGCCATATCGCATATAGATTCAACACTCCGTATAAGAGGTATCAGGGTTCACAGAGCAAACATGGAGTTACAATTACTCGAAGGATTATATGAAAATCTACAGGCAAGTCTTGTTTCATTTCTTTGCGAATTATTTCAATGTATGTAGTTTGATATAGTTGTTTTTGCATTTATAATAATCTCGCATACATCATTATTCAAAAATAAAAAATTGTTGTTTTTTTATTTAAATTTCTTAATGTTTTGCAGACTAGCCTTTCCTTGAATCAAGATTTGCTATGGAATTTGGATTTGTCGCATTGAAATTTCGATACTATTTGTTCAATTGCACTTGTGGATTCAAAGGGAAACTCACAGTAGATGGAGCTAGTAAAGTAATAATTCTATTACCGCTGAATTATCATGCATCAGTATTTCACAAAAATAAAGTTGATAATCTTACGAAGAGCTTGAAAGAAAAAGATTTTATGTCCCAAATTACTACAATATGCACGGGAGTGCGATTTGACTAGGTACATTAAAATTGCACATAAATAATTAAGTAATATGATTAATTAGATCTTAATAACTAACCGGAAACAATCTAGTGAAATTACAAATTTTATAATATTACAGTTATATTTTTTATAATCGAGGAAGAAAAAACAATACACAATTTTATATATTTTTTGTTATTTAATTTTTCTTCTTTCAATAATAATTAATTAATATTATTAATATTAATTATAATAATTATTAATATTAATTAATAATTATTCATATTAAATTATGAAATAATTAGCGAAAAGTTACCGTAAACGTTTTTATTGTAAACTTTGTCAAAACAATTAATTTTTTATATGCAATTCCATTTGGTGATTTTCGATAATGTAGATTGATTGAGAGAACTAATGACATTTTATTTCATAGATTTTATTTTTGTAGACTTTTTCATTTTGTTAATAAATAGTTGGGTATATTTCGATTGATTAGTAAATAGTCTATTATTATACAGGGTGTTCTAAAATGTATTTCAAAAATTTAAGGAGATATTCCTCACATCTGAAGGATGAAAAAGAATATATATATGGACATAAGTGCGGAAATGCTTATTTCAGGAGTTATGTTAAAAATACTGTTAGCTGTATTATTTACAGAAGGAAAAATTTAGGATGAATTATTATAGACAAATATGCCACCAGTGCGTGATATTCGAAATCTTCATAACCGTATCACTGCAAGTTGCGAGACAATCCATTGTACGCCAAACATTTTTGAACGCGTCTGTGAATCAATGCGTCGACGTGTCACTGCTTGTATTCAGGAAAATGGTGAACATTTTCAACATTTATTATAACATACTCAAGGTCACATTAAAATCAAATGTAAATAAGCTTAAGTAAACGATTGTCATCTGTAATAATTAATCCTAAATTTTTCCTCGTGTAAGTAATACAGCTAACAGAATTTTCAACATAACTCCTGAAATAAGCATTTCCGCACCTACGTCCATATAACATTTTTTCATCCTTCAGGTGTGAGGAACATTTCCTTAAATTTTTTACATACCTTTTTAGAACACTCCGTATAGTCTACTTTTGAATACGTAAAAACAAAGATGTGCATTAAAAAAGATGCAAGCTAATGAAAAGAATGATTTCTTTGATACATTTTAATAACGCAAATAATAAGACATATAAGAAAGCCAACTTATACTAATATATTTGTGTAAGTAACATTTATGCTTTCTCGCGTATAACATTATCATTCGATATATGCAATAAAGGAATAAAAATTTCATAAATAACAAAGTGCGTATCTGAACAAATATAATAAACGTGTACATATTTAAACTTTTAAATTACTATTACAAATATATGCGTTGCTAATAGATAGTAAAACAGAAAAAAATGTTCATTTTATTTTTTTATTTTACAGAATGGAGCAATTTTATACATTGAAATCTTACATATATGTATATATGCATGTAAAAAAATTAATGGACAAAGCATTATCCTTTTCTGGATTTTTATTCTCAAGATGTAATCGAGATGATGCATTTTACTTATTATTAATCGAATTAAACTTTACGCAATGCAATCTAAAAATAACAAGGGCGGCGCTGTTTATCGTCTGCATCAAAATTACATAATCGAATACTATTAAATGATATAATTCAATGTACGAGTATTTTATTTCAATTACAAAATAATTTGCGTCAGAGTATATTTTGTTCGTATTTGCATAAAATATTACATCCGAAAAATGTAGATACATTTATATGTGTACTACGAAACGTAGATATGTAAATATCACATAAATTGCATCAGTACAAATAAAATAATGACAATTTATTTAGCTTTTACACATTACAAGTAATATATCATTTTCAAATTTCCAAATTACGTGTAAGTTTTGTGAATATTTTCTTATTAAAATATATTAAAGAAAAAAAGTACGTTCAACATTGTAATCAATGTTTAGATTCACGATTTCAGAGCACTGCTATTATTATTAAAACGAAATCAGTAACGATCAAGACGCAAATTATATAAATACAAAGAAAACATACTTTGACGTAAATTATTTTATAATTGAAATTGTACGACACGAAATATAAAGAATGTTTTGTGCGGAAACGAATGTTGTCGTATCATTTCCATATCTTTTTTTTCGCTTTGTCCATATGTGTTATAAAATTTTAATAGTTATAATTAAAATCTATAATCTTTTTTTGTATGTGAAGCATAAAAATAGGAGCAAAGACAATTTATGATTCTCTGTTAACAACAAAAAACAACGTAAAAACGAAGAGAACGGAAATCTGATTAAATTACAAGTGTATTTTTTGGATAGAATACAAATTCGACATTAAAGAAATTATTTTTGTCACACATAGCCAACGCATTTCTAATTTATATAAAATGGAAAAGGAGCGATAAATATCTATGGTCTACGGTCTCGGTAACTTTCTTCATGTTACATAAATATTATTATATAATTCTGATAAAGCTCAATAAAAGAACTCCAATACTCAGGTTTATCTCTTAGGACTTATTATTTAATACTTATTGATCTTTTTGGAAAGTAGAGATTTTTATTTATAAAAAAAAATGGACAAGGCTAAAAAATTAGAAAAGATTGAATTTATAGTTTCTGCACCAGACAGAGTTATTTTATACGGAAAATCTTTGGCAATATATGGTAAACATATTATAGCGAGCAGAATAGATCTTCGTATCACGCTCAAATTCCACCAATTATCTCTAGAGTCAAGAATCATTAAGCTATAATTTCCTCATGTCCATATATCGTTAGACATACCTTTACAAATGATTGCAAACTTCATTTCCGATGAGAATTTTAATTTAGTTGCCGATGTTTATATTCTGTTCTTTAAACACATGCAATGTTTTATCACCTTAAACGGTCTGTATTGCACATTCTTGTTTTTATCTTTAGTTTTATGAGAGTGAAATTTCATAACAAGGGTCAATAAAAAAATAAATAAATAAAGACCTAACCATTTCCAATTATCTTTTGAGACATTGAAGTTAATATTACATCTTATTTAATTAATTATATTAAATTTAATGCAACGCAATCTATATAAAACGATAAAAATAGCACAGTTAAGTTTTTGCGGTAAAATTATAAAATGAAATAAAATTAAATGACATAATTCAATAAACAGTATTTGTGTATATATTGTATATATACACATATTTTTTTATTTTTTCCGTATAAAATATTGCATGCATGTACTTAAACATATTTAGATGTATATATGCAAAACTCGTGCATATTATAAAATTGCTATATATGAAATATTATTTTAAATACAGTGAGATAATGACAATTTGTTCATAACATTGAAAGTAATGTATTATTTTTATAATTATGTTCTGTTTTAATAATTTCTTATGAAAATATTGAGAAAATTTGACATTGAAGTTCATATTTAGAATTATGATTTCGAGGCATTGTTATCATATTTAGGAAAAATCAAAAACGATCGAAACGTATACAACAAGAAATATAAACGTTGTCTTGCGCGAGAACGAACGTTTCAAATTTTTATTGTCAGTAACTATTTTATTTGGTCCATGATAAGGATTCAATAGATGAAAATGTATCATTTCGATTTACATGTAAAACCTTGAAAGAAGAAACCAATTACGATTAATCTGCAGATAAAGGAAGAGCAGGAAATCGAGAATTTGATTAAATATATTTCCTGTAAGTATATCAATTTAATAATAAGTATTGACGACGAATTTCCTTTTGTTATAATCTGTAACTCATATTATACATTTGTGCAGAGTGATAAGAAGCGACAAATATATCATATCTTCGTCACATGAATACATGTTACGTAGCAAATACATTTGGCATGGTTTTAATAAATAGAAGGCACGCAAATTTACTTTTCTGCGCTCTACTGTTGAACGATACTGTTTGCAACTTCCATTTCTTTGAAAAAGCAAATATTCTTATCCATAAAAAGGATGATTGAATTTAAGATTTCCGCACCGGGTAGAATTATCTTAAGCGGAGAGTATGCGGCGATATATGGAAAAAACTTTGTGATGGCCAATTTAAATCGTCGTACTACGCTTAAATTCGCCGAAATAATTAAATATAAATTATTTAGAAAAACTTGTAACATAGAATTCCCTGATGTTGGTTTATCATTGAATTTACCTTTTGAATTAGTTAAAAATTTCCTCCATAGTTGTGATATTATTGGCACGAATAATGCCCGCTTGTTTAAATATGTGCAATACTTTATTACCGTCAACGGTATGTGGAGTACATATGAGCAAAGATTTAGTTTACAAATGTTTTTTTTCTCGCTTTTTTTTATCGTTCGTCGAGAGCAACTCGATATAAGATCTTTTTGCGTACACGTGAAGACGGAAATACCGATGCACGCTGGTCTTGGCAGCACGACATCGTTCGCGGTATGTGTCGCGGCATGCTTTCTACATTGGTCGCGTCTACAGAGAGGTGATCATAATGAATTTAGTTTTGATGAATTACTACTGATTGGGACATCTGCCGTGGAATGCAGGAAACCTATATGTAACGCTATGTATATGATGGACATTCCTGTATGTTTAAACAGTAACGTAGCTATGAGATGTCAATTGCTTAATTGCTACTTAGCTTACAATATTTCCACTTTTTTGACGCCAGAAAAGAGAATTCTTTTGATCGATTCGACAGTTTGCCAGAATAAGTACAAACAAATAGAGTATGTGGCCCAATTAAAACGTTTTTATCCCGAAATTATCGATCGCCATTTGAATACAATAGATGAAATATCAAATAATATTTCAACAAAGTTAGCATTAGATGATCAGTTCGATATATTACAGGTATATTTTTTTCACTTCTTTACAAGCGACAATATTACTTCGTTGTATAATGTTTTTGTGTAATATCATCTAAAAGATGTGCAAATATAATTATCCGATACAAATGCAGTATTGTTTTTTAATTTATATATTTTAATACTTTATAGAATTACATTCAAATGAATCAACATGTGTTATCTGAGTTAAATTTGTCGAATGAAAAATTGAATGATATTTCCGAAATTGCATACGTTTATGGTTACGTGGGAAAACTTACAGGTATTGGTGAAAGGAAATTTGCATATATTTTGCTACGACCGGGTATTTCAGGAGAAGAAATTGGTAATATTTCCGCACACCTAGAGTCCAATTTTCCTGTTACGGTAACTAGCATAAGTTGTGACGGAATAAGAATTGAGGATTAATATTAAATTTATCGATTTATAATTATATAAATAAATAAATAATAACAACAGCTAACAATAAATGTAAACAAAATTGTGGCGCAATTACTAATTCAAGTACTGTTTCAAAGAACAACATGCACTTTTGTTTAACATATTCTTTTATTTAAAGTTTGTTGTTTGTGATTGACACCGTATTAAATTACGAAGTTCAAAATGAGGACTAATTGAATATTCTAAAATATGTCGAATACGTCGATATTAGTTTCTTCTTTCGTATGCTATCCCTTTATTTCGAAAATACAAATTGAACAAAGATGTTGCCAAGATAATAATGCGAGGCGATAAAACATACCACAGTCTTTTTCAGTTCGCAAATTAATAGATATACATAGGATTCATAATTCAAGTTTATAAATTACATAATGCTATTACTGAATAAAAATGGGTCAATTAGTACTAGATTAGTACTAAATTAGTACTAAATTATTTTTTTCGTAATGATTAATAAAGAATTAGTAAAATAGAATTCATGAAATAAAATTCTTTGGATATTGTTTTTTAGGCGGATAATGTTCATAGCTGTACGGTTAATAATGCGCGTGACTATATTTTCTCTGCTGCGTAGTTTAAGGTTTTTCGACTCATTTTCCATTTTCTAACAAATAACAATGTTATGTAGTTCGTGAAAGCAAATTATGAAATACATTTTATATTTATGATCAATTATTAAATATGATATAATTTTAGACACATATAGTTTGGTTACACATGTATTTATTATATTATTAATTCATAATAATAAAAGAGACCATTTTCGATATATTTTATCACTGTCGAATAAAATGACATATGAAAAGAGCTAATAAGCTCATAAAATGACAATAAGAAGCTTATTTTAATAAATTGCTAAAAGAAATTATCTATTCCTTTATTATTACTTAACACGGATTTAGTAAAACAGAAATCGTAATAGTGATAAAGTTTCGAATAAATATATGAATTATTTATAACTTATTATAAATTTATAATTTATAAATTTTTTAATATATTTAAAATCATAATTTATCATTATATATGAGTTATAATTATATATATATAATTATATGAATAATTATATGTACATATATATTATCACAATTATACATATGTGTATATAAATATAATTATAAATACATGTATTACAAATTTATATAAAATATAATTATATAATTTATATAATTACAGAAAAATAATGATATATAAATATAAATATTAATTATATATAAATATATATATAAAAATTATATATAAATATATAATTAATATGTGAATTATTTATTAATTATATAAGAATTAAAAAGCAATAGAAAATTTCGATTTTGCGATTTTTAATAATAATGCGTTCTGCAATAATATGGAAAATGACTATTTTGCTATGACATAAAATATTTTTATGTATTATTATAAGAAAATTAGAATTGTACAATAAATAGAGATAAAGAAAAAAATATTAATCACCTTTTTTTCATTTTTGTTTTCAGTTTTATATATTGAAAATTTATTTATTTTTAAAAAAGTAAATAGAAAGAGGTAAAATTATATCCTGCTCCGTACCGTGATACGTATTATTGAGTTTTATGTATGTACAAATGCGATCTGTAAAATAACAAACATAACGCTATTTATCATTTACGTCAAAATTATATGATTAAATACTAACAATATAGTTAAACCATGTAGTTTGAATAATGTAGGTGTTGCATTTTCGATTATCTTTATCCTTCATATTGATTAACAAAGTTAAAGTAAATTTTTATTTGTAATAGATATTGTGTACATATATTGTAATATTGCTTAAATATCACGTACATTATGTCAATGCGAATGAGATAATTTTAATAAAAAATGATACATTTAATTATTTTCTGATTATTTACAAATATATATAAATATATTTATATATTACATATACGTTTGAATGACTTTTGATGAAAGCATTAAGAAACTTTATGATGTCAGATTATGCAAAAAAAGTAAATATTTAGTACGATCCTTCTTGATAAACTTCGATCATGTAGTCAATATTTTGGTTCGCATATTCGTGGCGCTTGAGAATTTTACGAGACAAAATCAGTCATGATCGAAACGCGGCTTGAACAACATCAAAAGCGATAACGTCTTAAATAATTGAACAACATTAAAAGCAATAACGTCTTAAATAATTTGTATTAATAGTAGCTCCTCTTTTTCTATGATATTAATAATTTTAATAGTAAATATATTGTATTCTCTCAAACTTGTGTGCAATCTTGAAAGAAGTAGCGGAGACGAATTATGACAGAGAATTCAGAAGGTTTTAGTTCGCAGAGAATAAAAACAATTGGAAAGAATTAAAATCCGACTGGATCTAAGTGAACTTTTTTGTTTTGTATCGATATAATTCAATAATGTATTAGTGACACGTTACTTTTGTTATACATATTTAACGCATTATGTTACGCACCTTCAACTTATTAAACGATTATTTTCTCGATGACTTTTTTTCGCATCAAATTGTATAAATCAAATTGTAAATAAAAATACATTTTCTAATATCTATCTCTAAAAGTTGCGAATTTAAAATTTTATCACAAACAGTGCATCTTTTGACGAAGTAGAGATTTTGATACGTAGAAAGTATGACTACATTCCAAATTTCGGCACCGCGTAGGGTTTTCTTATGCGAAGAGCATACAGTGATGTGTGGAAAATAAGTTGTGGCCTCTTAAATCTTCGTACCACGCTCAATTTCTACAAACTACCTCTAGAGCCAGGAATCGTTAGGATAGAGTTGCCTAAGGTCGGTATATTGTTAGACATACCTTTACAAATGATTGTAAGCTTTACTTCCGGCGAGAATTTTCATTAGGTGATCGATAATTATCCCGCTTTCCTTAGACTCGTGGAATATTTTATCAGCTGAAACGGTTTATGGACAACATTTGAGCAGAGAATTGACTTACAAATTATCTTTTTCCTCTTATGGGTTATCACCCAAAATGAGAAACTCGTTATAAGTAGTAGTATATTTATTGATTAATTTTATACAATTTATGTCAATATTTCATAAATTATGTAAATATTTCATTCTCCTATCTATTCTAATACATTTAATCAGTCTTTGTATACCTATCTAAAACCTATCTCCTCCCTTCCAAGTATCCTCTCGCTCTCTCTCCTCTCTGCACTCCTTCCTCTCCACGTACTTATTGACTTTTCTGAATTTCTTTTTCTCTTCTTTTTATTTTCCACCTATTATTTCCTTTCTTTTCTCCTCTTCCTTCCGTTTCCACAGTACTTCCTTCATCCTTCCTAGACTTCTTTTTTCTCCCTCTAGTATCTCTCTCCACTTCCCATTTTTATTTTTAACCTTTCCACAGTTTTCAAATACATGCTCGTAGCTTTCCTCTTCTTTGCTGCATAATCTGCACAACCTTTCCTCTTCTTTTAGCCAGAACATGCACTTTCTGCTTTCATTTCCTGTTCTAAACCTAGCCACCGTACTTAATTAATCTTTTCTTAGTCTTTGGCCTCTCTCCATGTATCTCCTTCCGTGTTCTTCCAAGAGTACTTGATCTCTTCTGCGTATCTTGAATCCTTTATCCTTTCTTCTTTATAATTTGTCTGTATTTCCCTGCCTTTCTCCTCCAATCTTTGCCACACTGACTCTTTCCTACCTTTATTTTCCCAATACTTTTCTATTGACCATCCTCTTTTCTTCAAGAATTCTCTCTTGTCTCCTTGGCTTTTTTCTTCTCTTCTTCTCTCTTGTATTTTCCAGCATTCTCCCAGGATCGTGTTTCTTTCTTGTTTTTCCAACTTTTCTTCATATTTTAATGCTCTTTTTCCTATCTTAATTATTAAATCATCCCTGTTTGTTTCTTTCATCACTATGTAATCCGGTGTATTCTTGTCAAGCTTTAGCACCCATTTAATATATTTCCTTTGTATTCTTTCAAGTTCTTTCCTTTCTTTCCATCCCCAAATTTCGGCTCCATACATCATTACTGATTCTATTAGTGCATCGAATAATCTCATCCTTTTATCCCAATCTTCTTTAAATTTCCTCTCTCCTATGCTCCAAATTCTTCCTACTACGCTTTTAGCTTTACCTTCTAGCTTCTTAATTTGTCCTTCATCACTGCTGTTGCCCTTCATTATGTATCCCAGATATGTAAATTCTTTCACTTCTTCTATTACTTCCTCTTTCCATTTGAATTCTAATCTGGTTCTCCTTCCTTGTCCTTTTCTGAACACCATTATCTTTGACTTTTCCGTATTCAATTCCAAGCCTTTTTTTTCCAAATACTTTCCCAATCTCTCTATCATCTCTTTTAGCCCTTCTGGCGTAGTGGACATTAGTGCAACATCGTCTGCATATGACAGTGAGTAAATTTTCTTTCTCCCTAATACTACGCCTCCTTCTTGTACTTTTTTCATCTCCTCTTCCAAATCCGCAAGGCTCACATTGAACAAGGTCGGGCTGAGGGGGCATCCTTGTCTGACTCCTTTCTTCAGTTCCATTGATCTTACTCTTTTCTCCTTTATCTTTATTGTGCTCTTTGTTCCTGTATATATGTCCCTTATTCTTTCCGTTATATTTTCTTCTATACCTATTTTCTCCAGCATGTTCCAAATTTCTTCCCTTTTTAGTCTGTCAAATGCTCCTTTCATGTCTGCGAATAGCACGCATAACTTTCCTTTTTCTCTTCTTATTGATTCATTTATCGCATTCTTTAGGATATATACCGCATCAATTGTGCCTCTTTCCTTCCTAAATCCTAATTGAGTCTCACTAAGACCTTTTTTCTCTTCTAAATTTTTACTTAACTTTCTTCTTATTATTTCTGTATAAATTTTATAACTCGTGTCCATCAACGTTATTCGTCTATAATTTTCCGCTTTTTTCTTGTCTCCTTTTTTATATATCGGTGTTATTATACCTTCCTTCCATTCTTTTGTTAACTTTCCTCCATTCCACATTTTATTTAAAATTTCCTTCATTTTTCCTCTTAGCTTTTCAATTCCGTAGATCCATGCCTCGTTACCTATTCCGTCTGGCCCTACTGCCTTCTTCTTTTTTAGCTTCCTTATTGTCACTTCAATTTCCTCTTCTGTAATCTCTTCTGTTATCTTGCAATCCGCTCCTCTGCTTCCGCCTTTTTCCAGTTCCTCATTGGTCACCTCCTCAGTTCTCTCTCCCTCCTCACCTATATCTATTTCTGTTCCTCCTAACTGTTTTGTAAAGTGTTTTATCCAATCTTCTCTTCTTATGTTTTCGTCTATTCCTTCTCTTCCATTCCTATTTTGATTTACGATTTCCCAAAACTTCTTCTCCGTTTTATCCCTTCTCATTTCTTCTATAATTTTTTCTCCTTCCTTCTCTAGCTTCTCCTTCAGTAGTTTCTTGTATTCTTTTCTTGCTTCATAAAATCTCTTCTGCCCTTTTCCTTCCTTCTTGCAGAGCTTTAGTAAATTCTTCAGTTCTCTCTTTTTCTGTCTGCATTCCTTATCGTACCATCTTTCTTTCCTAACTTTTTCTTCGATTGTCTTTTTTGGTATAGCTTTCCTTATTATTTCTTTTAGTTCTTTCCAGTTTTTTGCCCTAACTATTTCTTCTTCCTTTAGGTTTTCTTGATATTTTCTGATTCCTTCCTGTGTCCAATCCGTTATTTCTTTCCTTATCTCCTTTCTCCTCTCTTCTGTTTTTTCCTTCCATGTTACTTCTATTCGCATATGATCTGACTCTATTTTATCTCCAATTTTCATGTGCTGTATAATTTCTTTCCCGCTTATATTCGTTAACAGGTAGTCAATCGTTGTCATACCTCTTGGGCCTATATATGTAAATTCTCCTTCTTCGTCTCCATTCATGTTACCGTTTGTTATATACAATCCATTATTTCTTACTTCCTCCAACATTTTTTCTCCTTCTTTGTTAACTGTTTTATCCCTTGATTTTCTATTTCTTTCCTTCTCCATTTCGCTTCTTAGGTTGAAAGTTTCTTCTTCCTCTAGCCATCCTTCTTCTTCTCCTATCCTCGCATTGAAATCTCCTCCAATTATAGTTATCGTCCTCTCATTGTCTTCCAAAACTTTCTTGATTTCTTTCCAGTTTTCCTTTTTCTTCTCATTCATGTATGTGACAATTATCCTGTAGGTTTTTTCCTTCTTTTTCACTTCTACTGCTATTACTTCTTCTGTCGCTCTTAATCTCCTTTGTGCATCCATTAATCCTCTCCTTATGCCTAAGATTATTCCTCCCTTCGCTCTTCCCTTCTTATTATCTTTTCTTGCTTCTACGCATTCTATATCAAAATCTTTAAGCTTTTCTTTAATCCATTCTTCTTTCTCTTTTATTATCCAAGTTTCTACTAATCCTATTATATCAAATCTCTTTATATACTCTAATTTATCCTCCTTATTCTCTGTCATTCCTGCTATATTCCAAATTACCATTTTAATTTCTTTCTTGTTTTTCTTGCTGTATTCCTTTCTTTCCTCTTTTTGTATCTTCCTCACTTTTTCGAAAAAATTTTCCTCTCCATTCATCGAACCTGTGTTCTTCATTTTCTACTATAATTTTATTATATCCTACTCTTACGTTCTTACCTTCATCTTTATATTCTCGTGCCTTTTTCCATACTATTTCTCTGTTCCTCCTTTCTTTGAATGTGAGATCGTGATCTATGTATATTTTGGTTCCTTTTAGTCTGTTTTTATTCTCCATAATCTTTTCCTTTTCTTCTCTGCTGCTGCACTGCGCCTCTACTAATTCTCTTCTTCCTTTTATTATCCAAATCTTTATCAGCCTGATTTCTATCCCTAACTCCTTCTTAAGCCATTCTTCCACCATTTCTTTTTTTATCTCCTCCTTTATATTTATTCCTGTTATAATGATGTTTTTCTTCCTTATTTCCCTGTTCCATTCTTCCCACCTTTTTTCCTCCATGTCGTTATCCTGACTCTTCTTTTCTTTCTTCTCCTCTTGTTTCCTCTCTTGTTCCTCATCCTTTCTCTCCATCTCCTTCATCTTCTTTATTTCCTCTTCAACCTTTTGCATCGCTTTTTCTATATTTTCCATCTTCTTTTTCTCTTCTTCTTTTTCCCTTACCTTCTCCTCCTCTTCTTTTTTCTCTTTTTCTTCTATCCTCTCTATTAATTCTTTGATCTTCTCCTCCATGTCCTGCATCCTCTTCTCCATTTCCTCCCATCTTTTGTCCACTTTTCTTATTAATGCCTGAGCCTCTTGTCTTTCTTTCCTTATCTCTTCTCTCTCCCTTCTACTCTCCCTCAGTTCGACCATTATCTTTTCCATCAAGTTCTCCTCCATCTCTCTCTCTCCCTCAGACCGCTCCTTCTCTGAATTCAACTCTGTTTTCTCTCCCCACTCTTCGTTTAGTGCATCGATTTCCTGTGCTGTCACAGGATTTTCTCTTTCTGCTTGAACTATTCTGTCTCTTCTTGGTGATCTGTTTAATCTTTTCCTATTTTCAGACTCCCTCAGCAAATTTTCTACTGTCTCCTCTTCTTCCTTTTTTTTGTTCTTCCCTTCTTCTTGCTTCTCTTCTTCTTCGCACTTTTTTTTCCGCAGGTCCTATTCCCTTCCGGGCTTTCCAGTATTTTCCTTTTGCTTGAACTCCTATTCAAAAACTCACCAATATCCCGTGTGTGTTCTGCCCCCTTTCTTGGTCTTCCCCTCCTTCTTGCACTACCCTCCCCCGCAGTGAATGAGTTCGCTCTTTTCCCTCTTTCCACTAACGGTGTTCCGAACGTCTCTTCCTCTTCACCTTCTACCCCTCTGGTTACTTCCTCCTGTTCCTCGTTCCTTGTTTCGTTCTTCCTCGGTGTCTCTTCCCTGTCTTCACTCTGCATACTCTATGACCATCGAGGCCTTTTCCTTTTGTGTTAGGCTTGAGGTTCAGGTTCTTCACCTCGCGTCACTTTCCTCTCTATATCCTTCCTGCTCTATGGCCGGATTCGGGCCTTCTCTTGTGAGTCAGGTCCCAATCCCGCCTTTTCTCCTACCTCGCTTTTACTGTCTATCTTCTTCTGTCTTATCTTCCTCTCTTTCTTCCTCTCACTTTCTTCCTTGCTCCTTTTACACCTTATTATTAATCCTTCACTCCGCCACTTCCTTCACCCTTTCATCGCCTTTTCACTTGATCAGCTCCAAAATCAGAACAAAATCACTAAAAAATTCCGACTAGGATTGTAGCCTCTGGAAGAATATTCGCATATGAGGCTTGCAAAAGCCCACGTCATGCTTTGACGTCGTTGGGCGCGTATGATGTATTATCAATAATTCTTATTTCAACGGAGTTTAACATATCCAATTTATATATACCACAGAATTCGCCAGTAACTATTCACAGTCCAGTGGTCCAGTTTTAGACAAAAAGAATTCCACTTTTATACCTTCACAATATGCACTCCAAAAGCGAAGCTCCTCGACACACGTCCACACGCCACGACCTCCAAATCTCATCCCCTCGAAAAACTCTTTATATAATCTTTTCATTTGACCACACGATTAACAACGAACGCTGCATTAGTTCCCGATATGTCTCACAGGATGCTTTTTATGTTGGTCGTGTCTGCAGAAAGGTGACCACAATGAATTTACTCCGGAAGAATTGGAACGAATTTCGTGATGTACTTTGAGAAAATGATGACCGGAGTTCAAGCAGGATCACATCGTGCACTGAAAAAAAATAAGTGTTAAATCAAAATTTATATACTTAAACTAACGCGTTCATTGTTTCGTATTTACGCAACAATTAATCTTTTTGGAAGAATTTAATAATTTTAAATTTTAACAATATTATAGTCTTATTTTAATATTGTAATTGTCACCTCAAGAATATATAATTATTTAATTCTACTTTAAGAAAATTATAATCTTTGATTTAAAAATGTTATTTTCTATCCAAGATTTTCTTTTCCATTCAAGAAAATTAAATCTTAAATCATGAGAATATATTTTTCTCGATTGAATTATATAAAATGGCTTCATTCAAGTAAGCAATTTTATTCAAGCAATTATATTCTTCTTTAATTAACGCAATATAATCTCATTTCAAGATTTCCATGATAAAACTAAATATATTTTCAAAATAAGAATGTCCTTTTTTTCTGTGCGTGCACACACGGTCGTGTAACAGCATTTCAATATAGAGAACTGCTAACCTAAAGAGTGAAATCATAAATACGCCAGAAATATTATGCTGATTGATGCAAAAATTTGCCTAGGTAAAATGCAATAATTGATCAACATGAAATATAGATATAGGTACGCCGTCGATGTCCATTTAAACAAGATTAATGCTATATCGCATATAGATTCAACACTCCGTATAAGAGGTATCAGGGTTCACAGAGCAAACATGGAGTTACAATTACTCGAAGGATTACATGAAAATCTACAGGCAAGTCTTGTTTCATTTCTTTGCGAATTATTTCATTGTATATAGTTTGATATCGTTGTTTTTGCATTTATAATAATCTCGCATACATCATTATTCAAAAATAAAAATTGTTGTTTTTTTATTTAAATTTCTTAATGTTTTGCAGACTAACCTTTCCTTGAATCAAGATTTGCTATGGAATTTGGATTTGTCGCATTCAAATTTTGATACTATTTGTTCAATTGCAAACACTTGTAAATTCAAAAAGAAACTCACAGTAGATGGAGCTAGTAAGGTAATAATTCTATTACTGCCCAATTATCATGCATCAGTATTTCACAAAAATAAAGTTGGTAATCTTATGAAGAGCTTGAAAGAAAAAGGTTTTATGTCCCAAATTACTACAATATGCACGGGAGTGCGACTTGACTAGGTACATTAAAATTGCACATAAATAATTAAGTAATATGATTAATTAAATCTTAATAACTAACCGAAAACAATCTAGTGAAATTACAAATTTTATAATATTACAGTTATATTTTTTATAATCGAGGAAGAAAAAACAATACACAATTTTATATATTTTTTGTTCCTTAACTTCTCTTCTTTCAATAATAATTAATGAATATTATCAATATTAATTATAATAATTATTAATATTAATTAATAATTATTCATATTAAATTATGAAATAATTAGCGAGAAGTTACCGTAAATATTTTTATTGTAAACTTTGTCAAAACAATTAATTTTTTATATGCAACTCCATTTGGTGATTTTCGATAATGTAGATTGATTGAGAGAACTAATGACATTTCATTTCATAGATTTTATTTTTGTAGACTTTTTCATTTTGTTAATAAATAGCTGTGTATATTTCGATTGATTATTAAATAGTCTATTATTACACAGGGTGTTCTAAAATGTACGTCAAAAATTTAAGGAGATATTCCTCACACACCTAAAGGATGAAAAAAAATATATATATGGACATAGGTGCGGAAATGCTTATTGCAGGAGTTATTTTAAAAATACTGTTAGCTGTATTATTTACACAAGGAAAAATTTAGGATTAATTATTATAGACAAAAATGCCACCAGTGCGTGATATTCGAAATCTTCATAACCGTATCACTGCAGGTTGCGAGACAATCCGCTGTACGCCAGTCATTTTGGAACGTATCTGTGAATCAATGCGTCGACGTGTCACTGCTTGTATTCAGGAAAATAGTCAACATTTTCAACATTTATTATAACATACTCAAGGTCACATTAAAATCAAATGTAAATAAGCCTAAGTAAACGATTGTCGTCTGCAATAATTAATCCTAAATTTTTCCGCGTGTAAGTAATACAGCTAACAGTATTTTCAATATAACTCCTGAAATAAACATTCCCGCACCTATATCCATATAACATTTTTTCATCCTTCAGGTGTGAGGAATATCTCCTTACATTTTTTACATACCTTTTTAGAACACTCCGTATAGTCTACTTTTGAATACGTAAAAAACAAAGATGCATTAAAAAAGATGCAAGATAATGAAAAGGATGATTTTTTTGGTACATTTTAATAAACGCAAATAATATGACATATAAAGAAGCCAACTTATACTAATATATTTGGGTAAGAAACATTTATGCTTTCTCGCGTATAACATTATCATTCGATAAATGCAATAAAGGAACAAAAATTTTTCAAAAATAACAAAGTGCGTATCTGAACAAATATAATAAACGTGTACATTTTTAACCTTTAAATTACTATTACATATATATGCGTTGCTAATAGATAGTAAAAGAGAAAAAAATGTTCATTTTATTTTTTTATTTTACAGACTGGAGCAATTTTATACATTGAAATCTTACATATATGATATATGCATGTAAAAAAATTAATGGACAAAGCATTATCCTTTTCTGGATTTTTATTCTCAAGATGTAATCGAGATGATGCATTTTACTTATTATTAATCGAATTAAGCTTTACGCAATGCAATCTAAAAATAACAAGGGTGGCGCTGTTTATGGTCTGCATTAAAATTACATAATCGAATTCTATTAAATGATATAATTCAATGTACGAATATTTTATTTCAATTACAAAATAATTTACGTCAAAGTATTTTGTTCGTATTTGCATAAAATATTACATCCGAAAAATGTAGATACATTTATATGTGTACTACGAAACTAGATATGTAAATATTATACTGCTGAATAATATACAAATAAGTTTGGCAGCGTCGAGTTTTTTAATAATTAAAATTTTTTTAATTATGAGCTACATGAATCAACTGTTCATCGTTGAAATCGGGATTCTGAATTTTACGACAAAGATGTAATAACTTTCGACGAAAATGTAAACATAATTTTTCTTCATGTAATTATTTATCAGCAATCAATCACATCTAACACACACACACACACACACACACACACACACACACACACGCACACACACACGGCACGCCACGCACAGCACGCACGCACGGCACGCACGCACGCACGCACGCACGCACGCGCCGCACGCACGCACCGCACGCACACACGCACACACGCACGCCACGCACGCACGCACGCACGCACGCACGCACGCACGCACGCACGCACGCACGCACGCACGCACGCACGCACGCACGCACGCACGCACGCACGCACGCACGCACGCACGGCACGCACGCACGCACGCACCCGCACGCACGCACGCACGCACGCACGCACGCCAACGCACGCACGGCACGCACGCACGCACGCACGCACGCACGCACGCACGCACGCACGCACGCACGCACGCACGCCACGCACGCACGCACGCACGCACGCACGCACGCACGCACGCACGCACGCACGCACGCACGCACGGCACGCACGCACGCACGCACGCACGGCACGCACGCACGCCACGCCGCACGCACGCACGCACGCCGCACGCACGGCACGCACGCACGCACGCACGCACGCACGCACGCACGCACGCACGCACGCACGCACGGCACGCACGCACGCACGCCACGCACGCACGCACGCACGCACGCACGCACGCACCGCACGCCACGCCACGCACGCACGCACGCACGCACGCACGCACGCACGCACGCACGCACGCACGCACGCACGCACGCAGCCGCACGCACGCCCACGCACGCCACGCACGCACGCACGCACGCACGCACGCACGCCACGCACGCACCGCACGCCACGCACGCACGCACGCACGCACGCACGCACCACGCACGCACGCACGCACGCACGCACGCACGCACGCACGCACGCACGCACGCACGCCACGCAGCACGCACGGCACGCCACGCACGCCCCGCCACCGCACCGCACGCACGCACGCACGCACGCACGCACGCACGCACGCACGCACGCACGCACGCACGCACGCACGCACGCACGCACGCACGCACGCACGCACGCACGCACGCACGCACGCACGCACGCACGCACGCACGCACGCACGCACGCACGCACGCACGCACGCACGCACGCACGCACGCACGCACGCACGCACGCACGCACGCACGCACGCACGCACGCACGCACGCACGCACGCACGCACGCACGCACGCACGCACGCACGCACGCACGCACGCACGCACGCACGCACGCACGCACGCACGCACGCACGCACGCACGCACGCACGCACGCACGCACGCACGCACGCACGCACGCACGCACGCACGCACGCACGCACGCACGCACGCACGCACGCACGCACGCACGCACGCACGCACGCACGCACGCACGCACGCACGCACGCACGCACGCACGCACGCACGCACGCACGCACGCACGCACGCACGCACGCACGCACGCACGCACGCACGCACGCACGCACGCACGCACGCACGCACGCACGCACGCACGCACGCACGCACGCACGCACGCACGCACGCACGCACGCACGCACGCACGCACGCACGCACGCACGCACGCACGCACGCACGCACGCACGCACGCACGCACGCACGCACGCACGCACGCACGCACGCACGCACGCACGCACGCACGCACGCACGCACGCACGCACGCACGCACGCACGCACGCACGCACGCACGCACGCACGCACGCACGCACGCACGCACGCACGCACGCACGCACGCACGCACGCACGCACGCACGCACGCACGCACGCACGCACGCACGCACGCACGCACGCACGCACGCACGCACGCACGCACGCACGCACGCACGCACGCACGCACGCACGCACGCACGCACGCACGCACGCACGCACGCACGCACGCACGCACGCACGCACGCACGCACGCACGCACGCACGCACGCACGCACGCACGCACGCACGCACGCACGCACGCACGCACGCACGCACGCACGCACGCACGCACGCACGCACGCACGCACGCACGCACGCACGCACGCACGCACGCACGCACGCACGCACGCACGCACGCACGCACGCACGCACGCACGCACGCACGCACGCACGCACGCACGCACGCACGCACGCACGCACGCACGCACGCACGCACGCACGCACGCACGCACGCACGCACGCACGCACGCACGCACGCACGCACGCACGCACGCACGCACGCACGCACGCACGCACGCACGCACGCACGCACGCACGCACGCACGCACGCACGCACGCACGCACGCACGCACGCACGCACGCACGCACGCACGCACGCACGCACGCACGCACGCACGCACGCACGCACGCACGCACGCACGCACGCACGCACGCACGCACGCACGCACGCACGCACGCACGCACGCACGCACGCACGCACGCACGCACGCACGCACGCACGCACGCACGCACGCACGCACGCACGCACGCACGCACGCACGCACGCACGCACGCACGCACGCACGCACGCACGCACGCACGCACGCACGCACGCACGCACGCACGCACGCACGCACGCACGCACGCACGCACGCACGCACGCACGCACGCACGCACGCACGCACGCACGCACGCACGCACGCACGCACGCACGCACGCACGCACGCACGCACGCACGCACGCACGCACGCACGCACGCACGCACGCACGCACGCACGCACGCACGCACGCACGCACGCACGCACGCACGCACGCACGCACGCACGCACGCACGCACGCACGCACGCACGCACGCACGCACGCACGCACGCACGCACGCACGCACGCACGCACGCACGCACGCACGCACGCACGCACGCACGCACGCACGCACGCACGCACGCACGCACGCACGCACGCACGCACGCACGCACGCACGCACGCACGCACGCACGCACGCACGCACGCACGCACGCACGCACGCACGCACGCACGCACGCACGCACGCACGCACGCACGCACGCACGCACGCACGCACGCACGCACGCACGCACGCACGCACGCACGCACGCACGCACGCACGCACGCACGCACGCACGCACGCACGCACGCACGCACGCACGC